GGGACCTATAAAAGCCAGCTGGTGATATTAAAGTACCCAACAATAGCTGCAAGTGCTGTTTATAAATTCTGCTGAAAACTGTACTTTTCAAAGCTTCCTTAGATGGTGTATCGTGCCGCGTGCCCATATAAAAACCTTTAAGCTTGACAAAAAGGAGAGAAAAGACGACCACCTGCTTCAACTTCCTGTTCATGTGGATGCACAGCGTTTACATTTTGGATGCTGGATGACATGACGGTCACAAAGTTTTTCATACTCTGACTGGTCTGAATTAAACCCAAAAATATAAGAATAAAAAGGTACGAAAAAGGCCGGAAATGGGCAGCAGGACTTCTCTGCCTCTGTGACTTTGACAGGGTGCAATGTGCGGTGTGTAGGAGAGGTTGGGTTTTTTTTTTTTTTTTTGTGGCCTTGCAGCAGTTACAGTGACATACTTTTAGCGCTTTTGTAATCTGCCTTTTGTCCTGTTTGCGCCCCCCTTTTGTTTTTGACCATTGTGTCCTTGGCTCAATGTGTGACTAAGTGTGAATGCAAAATGGGGAGCGAGTGTGTGGGAGGTGTGGAGTTAGGGGTGGTTGTCATGGCACTGAGGTCAGAGCATTTAACATTCTCTCCCTGCCTGACTCAAATTATTACCTTGAAAGCCAAAGCTTTTCTGATGTAGATGATTTTGGCTCCCGTGGGACAGTTGCTGCAGGTTGGACTTAAATGTTGTCATTATGGAGCTTGATTCATGGTCATATTCATCTCTCTACTTTTTCTTCTTTTTCCTACTTTTGTCTGGCTCAGAGATGCATTTGATATATCATCTAACGGAGGCAAAGGTTGAGTCTGAGCTCTTTTTCAATCCCACGCCTCATTTTTGCATTGATTTGCCGCCTTGATGCCACTAGATGATTGTGGGAGTTGTGTGAAAATTCACAGCTGGGGTGCAAAGATTTCTGGATAAATCAAAATTTATGTTTTTGTTTGGATTTATATGATGGACACTAACTAGCGAGAACCATACATAATTTGCGGGAGTATTGAATGATGACGTAAACATTATGGACATATGGCGTCATTTTACTTTTGATACTTCAGCCTCTTCGGCACACACTGCCTCAGACACAAGCATCTCCATGTATGAAAAAGGATCATTCTCCCCCTGCTGTCATACTTTACTGTTAAATGTTTTTTAAAACTTGCTAGGAGATGAAATGTATGTTTTCATGTCAATGTATATTATTTATTTGATTACTTACTTTTATTCAGAGCTCTCCAGCCAGTTTTCTCCTAGAATGACCAGTTGCCATTTAAAGTGCCTGAAGAATATATTAAGTATTAAGTGATCATTAAGTGAGTGCGGTGAGCATTAATGGTCAGATTCATGCTATATGAGATAAAGGAGGGCAGTTTATTTTTTGGAAATTTTCAGTTTTTTTTATCAAGGTTTTTGTATCAACAAACTAAATATATTGATTAATTAGTGGAATTTTTTATTACTAAGATATGACGCTTTCCTGAAATCAAGTAAGAATTCCAGCTTAAATTTCTGAAGCTATCAATATTATATTAATGGCTTAACCAAACACAGAATGCATAAAGGCAATAATGAAATTATTCTGTATTGTTGTACCCATATAGAAATATTGAACCCATAAAACCCTTAGAAATATTGACTTGGGGAATATTTCAATGATTGAAACATTTTAAAGTTTGCATTTATTAAATTGCATCCACTTAAAACCATTAGATTAGATATTCAAACTCCGAAATGAATCTGTTTCAAAATAATTGTAGAGAATTTGGTAAGGATTCGTTTTGACCATCTATCTTGTCTGTATAAACAAATCTGATCATGCTCTATTTTGGAAATGTAAAAACTGCTCCACATCAGTATAAATACTGGATATTTTAAAGTGTCAAATGTCTCTTATAATGAAGCTCTCCAACATCATAACATGAATTATTAGTTTACTTGGAAGTAGACTGACGTCACTTTTGTTTTCAAACCGATCAGTGTTCTTTCCCAAATGAGCTAACATTTTTTTCCCAAAAAGTGAAACAGCTTCTACTTCTCATGTCCCCATCACGTTTCATTTCCTTGCTCCTCTCCTCCAAAAATCAGCCTCGACTTTCACCCCCTCCTCTCGTTTTAACTGCCTCCCCTATACCCACCCTCCCAAATCCCGCTTAATTATTGAAGTCAGCACTTGTCTATGGGGAGCTCCTCAATACCTTCTCATCAAAGCCCGGGTTTTTTGTTTGCTTGTTTATCTCAGACTGCTATTCTAGGCGTTCTCCTGGAGCTGTGATGAGACACAAGCCTCCAGTCTCAGCGGAGGCTTATCCCGTAAGCTGTCACTGCACCTTAAGTCACTCAGAACCATCCCCAAAAAGATGTTCTCTCTATTAAACGGCACGTTTTCTGGTGTCTTTTAACCTTTCGCTGTAGTGTTGCACATCTAATGCATGTATAACGCACACATTCTTTTATTTTTATACCTATCCTACACCTCGAGCATGCCAAAGTTAACCTGCCAGGCTCTGGTAAGATGAAGATTTCCTCCCCCTCCCGCCTTTAAACATCTACCATACTAGTGGTGCGGCAATGCCCCATTTTCCAGAAATGAGAAATCTCATGTATAAAGTGCCTTTCTGAAAATAAAAGTTGTTGTCAGGTGAAATTTGTAATATGGAAATGATTTATGCTGGCACGTTATTTACGTAACTCTACTGCCTTTTGAATGTTTACATTAGGGATGGGACGGTTTCTGAAAACCGTCTGAACCGTTCGGTTCGACTGTCTCGGTTCGGTTCGCGTGTGTACCGCACGGTTCATGCACTGCTCCTTTTTCTCAGAGGGAAGCGTTTACACTCCAGAGCAGAAGGGGGCGCTACTGCACCCAAAGTCAACCACCAGTAGGAAACCAGAAGAAGAAGAAGCAGCGTAGCCGATAAAAATCAGACGCGCCAACAGCAGTTTATATATTTTCTGCTGTATGGACCAGTTTGCATTTAGAGGGAAGCACATGTTGGAATTGTTGGCACTGTTTCCTCTCTTGCAATGCCATAATCTCACCTACTTTTAACCTAAGACTGTCACAATAATGTATCAAATGTCAGACTGCTTTTTTCTTTCAGTTTTTACTAGGGATGGGGATCGAAACCCGGTTCTATCAAGGACCTGGTTCCACTTTTATCAAAACCTGAAAATCAATACCGTTTGGGCTTATCGATACCACTATGGAGTCTGGGGTTTTTTTATTATTACAATAGTAATTGTGAAATCTGTGTTGTAATCGGCAGCATACAAGCTAGTTAGCTTGAAAAGTAAATAAAGTTTCAGACGTGCTGCGTGATGATGTGTTCAGATTGGCTCAGTAAAACGACAATTAGGTTATCATGATGCGTTCAAGTGTAACGTAAAGAAAAGGGAAATTGAGTTTTTGGCGAGAAACATGAGTAATACAGTTGTATATTGCTCTAATTATTTTTAGAATATATAATTAAACTGCTGATGCCAACATTTATTAAAAATGACATTTAATTTAAAATACAATTATTTATTTGTTAAATATTGTTGCATCGTCTTTCCACCAAATAACAGAAAATTATCGATAGTGGTATCGATAAAGACTCGGATCGATAAGGAGCATCGATAAAAGTATCGATATCAATAAATATTAACGATCCCCATTCTTAGTTTTAACCTGACTATACAAGACATAATAGATTTTCCTAACAATCACCATATACCGAACCGAACCGAAAACCGTGACCACGAAACCGTGAAACGAACCGAACCGTGGATTTTGTGAACCGTCCCACCCCTAGTTTACATGTACGTACTTAGAAAAACGCTTTTATCCAAAGCTGACAGTAAGCTGCATTGAAGGAAATGACTGTTCAGACTCTGTTAGAGGCAAAAGTGTTGGCAGTGTAGGGATAGAGTGAAGTATTGAGAGAGTGCAGTAGACAGGGTGGAGGGGGTACAGGAAGTTAGGGTGGGAATGCTCTCTGAATATCAATATAGAGTTGTATTTAAGGTTCAGTAACTTGTCCAACTCTTAAAGATATTCCTTCTCTTGTCTTCCACAGAAAATACCTGCTTTATGAGCTTTTACAGGTCAAATATGTGGAAGAAGTTTGTGCTTTGGTTTTATCTGCATGTCCTTCCTTTAGATATCACATTTCCATTATTTCAGAAATCTAACTGAACCCACCTAGTGACAAATTCCATAAGCCGAAAATAAAGTGAGTTTATTTCAAGTATAAAAACAACCCCCCTTCAGACTTTCGGTCTTTGTTGCCAGAAACTCCCTAATGACCGTCTTGCCATGGGCTGGCAGCTATGCGTGGCTTTACTTTTCACTCTCTCAGGAGTTTTTGGAGAGCTCAAACATTGTCTTGTTTAGTGTCGGCTGCAGGGAAAGACAAATATTGCCTCTGCTTACTATCTTTGAACTGCCTGTGGCAGAAAGTTTTCGACGGAGTGGGGGTTTGAACATTTTTGGTGCAAGTTAGAGAAGCTACATTTTAGTTTATTACTAACAAAGGCCGAATTCTTACCTCTGGGCTTGTTTCCATGTCTTTTGATGGTGAAGAAGCGCTGCTCCGGGGGCCACATGGATAAAAGCCCGTGTGGCTTCCTGTGCATGCTCAAAGACAAATATCATCAAGCATATGTTTCAGATTTCTAAAGCTGCACCAACATAGGAATGAATCTAATTCCTGAGATATCTTTAATGTTAAGCAGCAAGCTTCCTGAAATGGTTTGTTTGTTTGTGTCTTTGTTTGTTCCGTTATGTTTGCGTTCTGAAGGATGAATGTGCATCCGTGTGGTATCGGTGTACATGCTTTTATCCAAGACATCTGAGAAAGGAATTCCAGGAGTTTGATGAAATCACTGACAGGGTTCTTCCTCCCAAACCATGGAATGCATCATGCTCCGTGAATAAATTGATTCTGTTGACTATTCACGTGTTTATTTAACCTCGGCGCCCCCCTAATACTTGATGCTGTCATGCTGTGTGGCAGGTGCTGGGATGGATGAGACAGAAAAGTACAAACAGAGACTGGAGGCCATTGCTGTGAGTAGATATATACACACACACACACACACTCTCTCACACAGAATGCAGACACTTTGTGACAGAGGACGAAGAGACTAAGCTGTACTCTTGGAGTGTCCTAGAGCTCATAAATACTTGATTAAGTGAGCGGAGTGTCACTGCTCCCGAGAACACGACACCAGTTTCCCCTGATGACGACAGCATTGTGGATGTGGTTGCATTGTCCTTATGAGCTGCATTCACAAAGGATTTGGCAAAACGGTCCAAGCTGATGAGATAATTAAGTAAATGCATGTGCATAGTAGAAAAACATGCTAGATAATTGGAACATATCCCTTGTAAAGATGAGTAAATGTGCTGTTAAGGGGACATGCTTAAGCCAGTAACCCCTGCCTCACTTCCTCCCAAAAACTGTAAACACATCTTTCCTGCTCCCTACTGCAAGCCTTGCTGCGAAAAAAAAAAGGAGAAAAAAATAAGTGACTTCTCAAGAGTGTGGGACTGCCGTGCTAGTCGTAGAAGTGGAAGCCCAAAAACCTGGTGTGGTGAAATAACAGCTCAGAGAAAAGCATGATTCCTCACATGCATCTGAGGGTAAACTCTGGTTTTCGAAGAGCATTTTGAAACCAATCAAATATATTCACGCACAAGTAGGCATATTGGACACAGTAACACAATTTATTCGAGATATTGTTGGAAACTTTTCAATTTAAGCTTAAAAATCCAGTGCCAGGTAGGGTTGGTGCCATGGCAACCCCATCTTCGAGTATAGTAGATTTGTGCTTTATTGCAAACAATTCAGATTTTTGACAGACTAATTAGACTAACCAAAGAGGAAGTGTTCATTTGGAGACTACTTTGCTTTGTAGGTTTGCTTGACAAGTTTTTAAAACTAGTATACAAACATTTGTATGAGTAGGTTATTCACTAGGCCCTTATCGTTGGTTACATCAGCTTTCCCCAGTGTGTTGTCAGTTTGACCAAAATCTCGGTATAAAAGACAATCTGAAACACTCTAAAAGACAAAAGCCACTACCAAGCATGCAGCTCAGCGAAGGCTAATAAGGTTTAGGGTTAGGAATAAGAAATAAATATTTTAAAAAAGAGAAAATTCTAAGAATATCGCAATATGACAGAGGTGTACAAGAAGGGGCAGTGGATAAAAATCATATGCCACTCCCAAATGGCATAAATCGGAGAGGAAATAAAGAGGTCAAGAGTTTACCCCGGAGGATACTGCAGTGAATGGAGTCTCGGCGGACCGCCGTGAGCCAAACACACAAGGGAAGCTCTGCACAGTTTGGATTTTTTTTTTATTCTGCCATGGAAAGGATGGATTATCTACAGGTAAGGTTTTTGCGAAAACCTCATGAGTCTTCCAAAAGATTCTGAATGGGTCAGAGCATTTTTGGGAAAAAAAGCCAATAAGGGAAAGATATTTCCCTGATTTAAGATATTTCACTTTGCCTAGAGGTATCCTATCTATTGCTGTAAGCTGACGACTTAGTTTGGCTTTGCCCACTTCTTGTCTGCTCATTTCTTAAGTGTCTGTGTCTTATTCTTTTTCTTTTTTGGTGTTTAGGAAAAGCGTCGGCTCCAGGATGAGCAGGACAAAGCCAGAAGAGAAAAAGAGGATGAGAAGCTTCGACTTGAGCAGCTCAAGGTATCAAACACACTGAATATATTCTAAAATCCCTCATTCACACAAATACTTGTACCACCCCTTTTTTTTCACTCATCTATAACCCGCTGTCCTTTTCAGACATAAACTCTATCAACGCTCTAACAATCTGTCACACAGTTCCCTTAACCCTTTAACATTTACACTTAAGGAATGAGACAGAAATAATTTTTTTGCATTTTTTAAAATTTCATGGAGCAATAACAACCAGAATCAATGCTTTTTTCACGAGTAATTGGGGTGACACTTTATTTTAAAAGTGCAAAACTTTAAAAAAGAAACGTCATGACTCATGCTTAATTTAGGCATCATGTACCTAGACTTAATTCTAAAAGCTTGTTTCGGCAAGTGCATCTTCTTTAGTATATTCTGACCAACTATAATCAGTGAAAAATGTGTATATCAGGATGTCAAAGGGTTAAAAAAAAAAAAAAGCAAGAGGCGGGTAGGCCTTTGCTGAAATGAATTTTGAGCAAGAATTTTCACACTCTACAAGAAACAGTGCTATTGTTTTCCCATCATTTCCAGATTGGCGTTCCCACTTCCTACTCTGCAGTGTTATGTTGCCCTCAGGCACATTCCTGAAATTGTGTGAAATTTGACCGGTAGAAGAGTTTTGGTTTTTTTCTGTTTTGTTCTTTTCAGATTAGTTTTTTTTTTTTTTTTTCACATGCTGAAATTAACGTGTGCTAGGGTTGTCATGACAATGTTTTCCACATTAACCTGATCTGCTGCTGCTTAAAAACGAATTACAGTTTTAAGATAAGAACCTGCAGCAAGCTTTTCAAGATTAGATGATAATTCTGACGCTTGCTTTCTCATCAGAGGTATTAACGTCAAAGGATTTAGCAGATTCATTAGCCCTGACATTGATTCTAACCTCTGTCTGGATGTAAATATGTAATGGAGGGGTGGGGGGGTGATGTTGCAAATGTGGTGTTGAGGTGTAGAGCGGACTGTGTCCACTTAGCCAAAGGCACTGGGAAGTGAACACAGCCTCACTTGTTCTGAGCCGCATGAGAGGACAGAGATGGTATTGTGAGGCTTACAGTTACAGTTAGAAGGTAGTAACTGCCTAACCGTTGGAGTTCCCTGCAGTTAGCTGCAGACCAACTTTCCTTTCCTGCAATTTTCTGTCTGACTAAGGGGCACATTACAGGTACAAATGCCTGCTGAAACATGCACTTCAACCAAGGTCAGGAGACTGGAGAGGTGTTCCCACTGCACAATTCTACTGGCTGTTTTTCCTCTAGTCACATTCAAGAGCATGTAAAAAAAGGAAATGTTACCTCCATAATTTAGGTGTCCGGCATACAGCATAAGCATTAACATTAACAAATATTCCACTAACTAAATTTCCTCTGTCCACCACCACAGTGAATTTAAGAATAACCAAGTGTAAAAATGTAGTGAAAGTATGGACTTCTTGCAGCTGTTTTTCAATTTATTTTTAATTTTTCCAAAGGCTCTACATTTGAAGAGTCTCAACAAGACTGACAAATGACTATAAGCTATTTCATGAGTGAGTGCTTGTGGTTGTTTATGACTTTATGAAAAATGTATTAGTTTTATGCCATGGATTTGATTTAATCGCTAATGTATGATAACTGGTCATGGGACCTCACAATATGAGGACCAAAGAAATGTTGGCACAAGCAAAGGAAATCCTAAGGATGAAGAGCTCAAGGAAGCCAATCAAAGATAAGAGAGCTTAAATACACAATTTTGTCATAAAATAAGCAGTGGTCTGGATAACTTGGCACCACCTTATGCTTCGGAAGAAGCAGGCAAGAATGACGAGAGTGGTTTATTGGAAGAATTTTCTCTTTCTTGATTTATAAATCAAGAAAGAGAAAATTCTTCAAATCTGGCATGTCTGAAGGTTTCACTGACAGTAAAACTCTTTCATCCTTTTTGTTACTGTTATTGCTTTATCACAAATACTCATTAGTCATGTCACCCACAAAGGGGAGCCTCTCAAAGACAAAACATATTCTTTATCTTAAAAACAACGCCCATAATTTATCAATTTAGGATGTACAGTATGACTTTGTGAATTCACCACAGGTGACATCTGCTGTTGGTTTGGTCCATTAGTTTTAGTCTAATATTCCGCTGCAAAATGAACAGGTAAACTTTAAATTTGTTTGTTTGAAAATGCTAATCAGGAATGATTCTTTTGAGCAGTTTAGATAAAAGAAGGAGTTCGGTGCTCATCAGAAAGCTGTTTCGACTACGACGTAGGTGGTGTAAACAGACTATTAAAGCTCAGTAGTTGGAACCAAAATCTGTTGGAAGATGACTTGAACTAAGCAAGTAGTAGCTATGTTAACACCATAATATTCTTATATAATTAACCTTCTTAACCCTCTTTATTGTATAGAAAAAATAATCTCCTTTTCCTTCAACAGCTCGAACAATGCACTACCTGTCACGCCATGATGTTTTTGTCAAATGTCCTAAATCTTATAGCCAGTGTCACCTATATTTTGGGCGGGTCTTACGTTCTTGTTCTCGCCACCTCGAGAACAAGAAAACAATTATCGGTTTTCCTGAACAATGAAACGGCCTCGTAGTGTGGTCAACACAGAGAAAACACTTAAAGGTGAAAAACATTTTGGCCACTGTTTTACTGTCTTTAGTGAACGCCACCGAAGTGAATGGTGGTCAGCCTCAAGAAGGAGACAAAAAGGCATGCAAAGAAGCATTTGTTGACACTTGTTTAGTATACGCATAAAATTCGGAATTTGACTCTTCCCCGGGTGCCGTTATTTTCAGTTAAACGTTCTCTTGCGTGTAGCAACCAGCTGTTAACAGTTTCGTAGGCTACAGCTACGGCAGTTAGCTTAATTCACAAATGTCTGTCAGAGAGAAGTTGTTCCACTAGCGCGTTGTGTTTACTCTTTCTTGGACCTTGTCTCCAAAGGTATACATTTTTACTACCGTATTTGTAACTAACTAAAAAAAAATGTTCGCAATTACAATTCTAGTTTTAGTTTGAAGTTTTAGCACTTCGAACTTTCAATAGGGTTAGCTTGAAAAGCGTTATTGGTTTATGTTGATTGTTTTGTCTAATTTGTTTTTGTGTGTTTTGTCTTATTTCATTGGGTAAATTAAAATAATGTAATGGTTCAACCAACCTGCGGTTTATTACAGTGTAGATTGCAAAAAAATGGCGTGCTCATGTTTCCTCAAAAGCTTATAAAACTGATGGACTAATGCTCAAAATGTTGAAAAGATGAAATAGCCAAACAGAGCTAAGTAATCAAGGAAGGATACTTGCAGTGCTACACAAAATAACTTAACTAATCATAAAAGGAAGCTTCATAACAACCATAGTTTAAAAAATAATAAACATTTGAATGTTTAAAAAACAATATGATGGCTTTTTTTAAATACTGATCTATTTTTTAAAAACTTTTCTGCTGTATATATCGCCATATCTTTACACTTTTCTCACAAACAACAATGTCATTTTTCCAGCATATGATATTCATGCAAATGTGGACAATTCTCTCTTGTATTATTTTTTCCTCACCTTCTCCTCCGCATACCAGAGAAAGTCTTTGAGGGATAAGTGGTTGATGGAAGGAGCTCCCTCGTCTCCAACCTCCCCGAGTGCCGAGACGCCCCATTCTCCTCTTTTAAGCACCCAAGCACAGGATATGGAAAAGGACACTGACAAGTACATCCACTGTGTTTGTGTGTAGTTTAGAGTATGAGGAAGTCTATAACTATGTGTTTACCTGTTTCCGACTTTATGAATACACGTACAGCATGCCATTGTCTTTTTAAGTTTCGTTCTTTTCTTTTTCAGCTGTTGCCAGGCAGAACTAGACTTTTCCTTTTTGCATTGTACTGTACATGATCTGGTTGAAATTATTCCAAGTAGTCCCAGCTCTGTTTATATTGATTTTAATCGTAGAATTAATTTAAAGAGTTTATTGATTTATTTATTTATTAAAGAATTTAAATAACATTATAACGCAGAATGCAGTTGCGGTAGATGTGATGTTTTTGTGTGTGTGTGTCCGTTTTTGCCCATCTCAGGTTAGAATCTGAGAATCAGCAGTTGGGAGAGAAAAAGAAGAACCTGAAAGATGGCCAAAAGGTGTGGAACACGCACACACACACTCACTCACTGTATGGACGTAGAGGGGGTTGGAATATGTGTTGAACAAGCTTGCTACATCAGTGTCCATTAGGTAGAAAATTTCTCACATCTTGTCTCTGTGGCACTCAGTCATGCATAATGCATTTCCTTCCCGAAAACACCTTTGATGTTGCACCTTCTGTTGAAAAGCAGGAACTTTATGAATTCAAGCCATCCTGTAGCATAAACAGCACAGTGATTGATCCTGACTTGAATAATTGCCTCACCTTTTAAGTATTTTTACCCCTTTCACAGTAGAGCAGAATAGTTGTCGGCTGTATCAAGCGGTGTGCTTTGGTGAAGTTCCTTATCTTTTTTACTCCCAAACAATGTACTTACATTGTTCCATCATAGTGGGAGCATGTGGCAACAAGCTCAATTGATACAATACACCAAATGTACTTTCTAGAAGTTTCATTGGGCCACTCTTAGTTGGACTTTAAAGCTCAGTTACTCCCCCTTGTGATGAGATGCAAAACTGGATGCCATTATAGTGGACATTTGAAATAGATTTAATCTGTTAAAAGCTACTTTGAGTATGGGATTAAAACTCTGAGAACTAGTTATTACTGGAATTATGTGCTTTCTCACATTTGACCATTTAATTAAATTTTGGTGTAACTCATCCCATGTCTCCCTTTAACAGGATACTGAAGATGTGGTGGAGGCTGGAGCTGGCAAGTTGGATTCTTTTTTTGGGGGGGTGGGGGGGATGTTCCATCCATCCATTCATTTGCTATATTGTTATTCCGAACGGGGTCACAGGGGTGCTGGAGCCTATCTGAGCTGACGGGAAAATGTTCTAATTCCAGATAAATGATGGATAAATGATGTAGAGAATCTGAAGTGTAACATGTTACGCTATCATTAGTCATTCTGTCCATTGCAATTCTGTACTGAAACGAGTCGAGAGAAATTTCTCTGACCGCAACACACTGTCAGCAACAGCTGTGCTCACTTAATTACATAAGTGCCCTCCTACCTTTTTCAAACCCTTGTCTGTTGATCATTATTCCCTCAGAAAATGCCCAAGACGTTGTGCAAAATGGACCAAACGACACAAGAAACTCAGGTTGGTAAAGAAAATTTTCCAAAAAAACAAAAACGGCACATTATTCCACTTTTTGTATTATGAAATAAAAGGGAAGCACGGGCATGCTTTAGGACAGTCAAAACAGTGAATTGGATGTAAAAAAGAACGTAGACAAATGCAGACAGTGAAAACTGTTGTCCTTAATTTACCTCATCTATGGAATCATGTAAACCAGCAGCCTGACATGCTATAGCTGTTTGAACTGACACATTTTTCAAAGAAAGATGGATCTTAGATGATTAACATATTTACTGTGTGTGTGTTGCAGTCGCTCTGACCAACAGTGATCAACATCAACCAAACAGCAATCACATCGCACCAGATCAGAGTGAATCAGACACAAATGGACCGATTGGAGGAACCGAGAGTGGGGACTGTAAGAGTCCAGGAGCTGAAAACGATGCCATCGAGGGTGGATCGGGTCAAATTCCGAACGCCGACAATGACGAAGAGGAGGAAGGGACACTGGTGATGAGAGCGGAATGTGTTATCATCACGGATGAAGGGGACGATGTGTCTATGGAGCTTACCACTCAAGAAGCATCTGAAAATTTAACAGAAGCAGAAAATAGCGACGCAAGTGAGTGCGCTACAAAGAAGAAGCAAGACATGGATGAAGGCCAGGATGAGAAAATAGAGGTTCAAGGGAGGGCCACTGTGGCTTTGGTGCCAGTCTACACCGAGGTGCCATCTTCTGCTCTCAGTTCTGCTTTAGAAGCTGAAGAAGAGAAGTCAACGGCAGCTGAGGCAGCTCTGAAAGTTGCCAATGACACCCGTCTATCCGGACAGTTCCAGGAGGTGCCCCTGACCGATCCTCGGAACAGCCTGAGAACGGAGGCGGGGCCAGCGGAGCAGGAGCCGCTTCTGTCGAAAGCCGAAACGCCCAAAGCGACGGCAGAGCTAGCCGGAGCGAACAGCCGAGGCAGCGCGGAGCCACAGAGCCCCACCAGAGGGAACCCGGGAGGAAACTTGGACTCGCCCAAACACAAAAACTGCCAGTGCTGTTCCGTCATGTGAATTCTCCTCCCCATGCACGAGTTTCCTCCAAGCCTCTCGTTTTTTCTCCTCATCCTTCACCACGTCCCATGAACGCATTCCCTCCGCCATCTCTTTGTTTAGTGCATGCATCCATTTTTGACTCGGCAAGTCCCCAGACAAAATTTTCCGAAATTTACGAAACGTCCCAACCCTTCATATTGACAGAAAGTCCTTTGCTCCAACATGAAAGGGGTCCCAGAGACATAACTTTGAGGTTTTAAGCACTTTCAGCCTATCCGAGTTCAGTTTAACAGACTTTTCCTCATACATGGTTGGCTCAAATATTTTGATCCCCCCGACAAATTCGTGATCAGATCAGCCAACATGCACTTCTAACCTTCAAATGAAGAGTCAGTATATTTTAAAAACTGACCGATGTACCGTTTTAAATTTGCTTTGTACCTTTTAGAAGAAAAAATCTGATATTGAGCGTCATAGGCGTACAGATGTTTGGAGGTTTGCAGAAAGCATTGAAGCCGAATTATTTTATTGCTGTTTGACACTTAGATTTGTTCATTAATCTACACACAGAGAAGCTGAATAAAATTTTTCTTTGATTTTTATTTACTCAGCTATACTGTGTCAGCAGGACAAAATGGCTTGCAGTTCAAAATGGTCTGATTTACAAACAGTGTGCAGCACTACGTTTTCGGAGGAGTGGCAGTTTTAGAAGAGAAATTAATTTTAACTACCTGGAAGTATGAATTTTTCTTTGATTTTCTTCTTTACCGCATGGGTTTTAGTTGAGGTCTGGTATGGCTGTATATACTGTAAACTACATTTTTGAGCCCTGACATGATTGCTTATTGGTTTATCGATTAAACTGATATTTGTGGTAAATGACTTGTCTGTGTTCATTCAGCATATGTGCTTCCCAAACACTGAGTGAAAACACAGCACATAAAGCCAAGTCAGCCTAAGCACTAGTTTGCCATTAACTAGGGAGCATTGCTGTCATGCCCATATAATAACCACCGCAGTGTTTAAAAGAGGAAACGAAAGTCTCAAACCATTCCAGATTTATTGTATGTCACCAAGAAATTGGAGAAACAGCAGAGGGGTTTGTTCAAGTCTCATTATCAAAGGTGGGTGTTCTTTGTTCTATATGCACTCGTACACCAATGAATACATTGGAAGGCACTGTAACACTGTGTCTGGCCTAAGGATGCTTTGATATGTAAACTTGGGAAGCCATGAGGGAAACCCATCAGTCTACCTATTGCCGTGTGATTGTCTTTCTCTTTAGCTACAGCTGCCTAACTTTTGTCATCAAACAGCCGGACTCCTCCTCTCAGTAAGTAATCTTCAAGAATAGTTCTCGAATGACATTCCAGAGTTTTGTTGTTTTGTTTTTTTAATCTTGGCTGCTCTTGGTTCCATCCTCTGTCTGGAATATTCCCCGCTGCGTAAAAGTTTTTTGAAGTTTGCGCTTTGGGGAGGATCGATCCCTCCGTCAGACCCATTGCCACTCATTTTAAGCCAGCTTCCTCTGTTTTTTTTTGGCATGCCTCACCTCCCTCCCTGTCTCAATTACCGTTACTTAGCGATGGCTTCTTGACAGCAGCCTTTCTTTAGAAACCATCTTTAGTGAAGATTCAATCAAAAGTTAGGATTAACCAAGCTGCTGGCATAAACTGCCAAAAGATCCAGTTCAAATGTGCCTTGACACTGGTTGATCTGTCGAAGTTGGTGCTTTTCTTTTTCTTGGGTATTTCAGGAATTGGTATTAGGTTGCTTATCTAACAAAAAATTACTTCCTTTTGACAGTGGTCAGGAACAAGAAATAAAATGAATTGGGATGAGGAAATATTCTGTCATCTTTAAAGCAAAATGCAATGAGATGACCATGTGACTCAAGTCTTGTACAGTCCTAGGTAAATTGTTTAGGACGGGCTTCTTTTTTTTAATTTATTTTTTTAGGATTTTTAAACGTACTTTGTATATCTATAACTTTTAATAGCGTATCGCAGCATCACGGACTCAGACGGGGCTTTGACTTGTGATCCCTGCAACATGTCCAAAAAATGTATCACCTCTGTTAAAGAAATATGTTTTGAAAAGCTGCCAAAGATCCTGCTGCGTCTTCACCAATTCTCTTTGGCCTACGGGGAAAAGGGAACATTTTAGTTTTCCATACCTTGAAATAAGTCCTGCTGAGTGATATCGCCCAGTGAGGCCCAGATAACATCAAACAGATTTGCTCGTAACGCAAGAAAAACTGTTGAAAATTGTGGCATGAAAAGAGTCTGTGTATTTTTTTTTAAACTAAACCGGAGTTGACTAGAGGTCTTAAAATGAGAAGTTTATCACAAGGATTTGCAAATATTTTTTGAATGGAGTACACTTTTCTGTTTAACTGCCATGGCATTTGGTCATAAATATGTGTTGCTGCTTTAAATTTAGCAGAATTCCTGCACTGAAACTGCCCAAAGAATCTTATTTACTTAAAAAAGTACATATTTTCCATTTGAACATTTTCTTCATCTTGTCAGTTTTCTAGTCTACATTTACTGCATGTAAAGAAGTATTTAACAGGGACCTGTGCATTCCCAGAATTTAATAAGTTTAGTCGTACAAATTTCAAAATGATTTGATTCACCTTGAAGGTCTAGCACACAGGCCGGATTGAGCCGGTCAGCCATTGTAAACATTATATAATCCAGTTTCGAAATTTGTACCGATAAACACAGACTTGGGACTGTACTCTCTGCAATTTTTAACATTGCAAAATATTTGTGTCACGATTCTAAGTATAAAAGAAAAACACAGAGCAGCTGAGATCCATCAAACAACCCAACAAAGATACAGAGACATGTGGGCTGTATTCGTCACCGTTCTCTCCTTGATTTCCATGAGCTGTTCAGCTCCTCTGGACTGTGAACAGTTGGTCCGGCCCTTGGCTCAACTTGACCCTCTTGCTTCGGTGGGAAGATGGGCATTAATTGCAGGGAGTCTTAAAAATCCAGCTGCTGAAAGTGCTCTGAGGAAACAGGACAGCATAGCTATCGAGATCAACAACTCTTCATACATCCAAGCAATCTTTCAAGACGACAAATGCCAATATGATACGCTGGATGTGACAGTGGAAGGCAATGTCTTGAAATTGAAGGGCAGTTACAACTTTACTTTGACTTTCCATCACACATCCTGCTCAGACTGTGCACTTTTTTTGCTGGACGTGCAGGCCTTTAACAACACAACGTCGGATTTTTATCTGCTCAGCAAGAGGAGACAGTTGGAGAAGACGGAGTTGGAGGAGTTCAGAACTCAGGTGGAGTGTCTGAAAATGCCTCCACCTGTTGTGATGGATCCTGCGAAAGTTCTTTGTCCAGAGCAGGACACCAACGTTCCAGCCGACCAAGCTTAAAAGAAAGCAGAGGCTCTGAAGGACTGAAGAGTGAAATGCCTCGCTGCTTTTTAAGTTGATTAACAACTTAATTGAATCAGTTTTTCTGTACAATTCATTTTTGTGGACTGTGACGAACCACAGTATACCTAAATGTAACAGGAAACGAATGGTCATTTACTGAAAAAATAAAATTCTTAACAGATTTGGTTTTGTTCATACAGTCTTTCATATGTTCCATTATTTGAATTAGGAACCCAATGTGCTGTACTGAATGTGACTGACACCAATGGGGCAGGTATGCAGTAATTTCATCTTTCAATATCAAGCTAATTCGCAGGATTGTAAAATCTATTACATTTTCTGGTATGAATCTTTAAGGCAAATTACATGACTTATCACTCTCAGCCTTATAAAAGGATCCGTGGACAGAATGAAAACTTTATCCCAAATTAAAATGAACATGACCTGGTTTCTGCATGCTCTTGTTCTGGCATTATGAACGAAACTGCACTGAATGTCACACTGTAAATCTGCATATACGCAAAATACAGGCAAAATAGCATCTCACACTTTACCACAAAAATAGAAAAACTCAGAAAACAGATTAGATTAAAAAGAAGAGACAAGGTGAAGACAACTGTGGAGAACACCTGATGAGGCAGTTGATCTTATTTCAATGTTTTTAATCATTAAATGCTGTAAACAATCTTTGATTTTTCAGAAATTGAATTGACGGGCAGAAGAGTACAGTCTCCCAAGAGATTTGGCATCTCTATCGGGATATACAAAAGTATAACCATGGACCATGCTCCACTTCTGACTTAATGACACAAAAACATTGATTACCTCCCATATCTCAAAGTTTAAATCATTAAAACATTGATTCTTCCCACCAAAAATATATAGCGTGTATGTTTTCACATTTTTCATGTGTAACTGCGAGGGGGAAATGTGTGCAGGTTATCTCTCGTTTAGAGTTGAGCTAAATCTAAAACTACCTGGTGTTCTCACCTTATCACCCCGAAAGAAGGAACATCGAGTTTTAGGGACAACTCCATCTGTTACCCGTGCTACAGCATGGTGTTTTTAGTTTCTGCAGATTTGACGCAGCCACCGGCCATCTGTGACACGTCGCTACATATTCCAAATAGATTCTAAATGTTTCATATGGTCTGTGACAGGCTGGAAACCTGTCCAAGGTGTAAACTGCCTTTCACCAATAACAACTGGGGTAGGCGACAGCCGCCTCACAAACCAAATAGGAATTGGCACAAATAGAAAAATAAATGTACTATATTTCAAACAGACATTAAATCTTCTAAAAGTCCTGAGAAGTCATGTTGAAAGTTGGTCATATTGACCGTTTTTAGTCTAACTTCTTTTGCAATGGCTTTTTGAAGCAAGGTTGAAATATGGGAGAGTCCCTTTAAAGAGTTTGTGCATAAAAGTTTGTGTATATTACAGAGAAATGCCTCTTGTTTGGACGGTCTTTAAAGCTGTATTCCATCAAATGGCCCGTGGTGGGTAAATTATGTGCTTAGCTGTTTGTAGGAATATGAGAGAAGTTTTTCATGTTTGCATCTTGCATTTTCATGTTTGTACATGTTTGTTCATCCAGCCTGTTCATTTTGGAAATGATTGTACCTTTGAAGGCAGGAAAACAGTTTTCCAGAGAAAAGGTTCAGTCCTTTGATAAGCATTGATTTCAGGTTTCTCAACAAAGTTTAACAAGCAAAAATATAACGACCTGAAATGTTCATCCACAAAGCATTAAACAGTGCCGGATAATCACCCCTTTGTGTCAGTTTTTGCTTGATGAAATATTTGTCTTCTGGTTTTAAAAACCAAAATTAAAAAATACACAATCAGCAGTTGTTTTAAATGGGATTCTGCCCTCTTCTGCTGACATGGTTGCATGACGCAGTTAAACAAATCAAATTTAACTGTCAAAGTGTGGATTCATGTTGCTTTAATTAGTCTTTTATTCATTTAGGTATTTTGACAGTCAAAACAGTCAAAACATCAAAGAAGAAAGTTTCACCTAAGAAATTGAAAGTGGAAATAGTTGAAAATTGTTGCCGTAGTATATTTAAAGCAGGATTGATAGAAGTGCCTAAAGTCAAAGTAAATATAAAAGTAGTTCCTACTGCTTTTATTTGAAGTTCCACTACTGATAATGCGTGTGATTTATTTTGCCACTATCATTTTAATCGCAAATGCATGCCACTGAGCTACAATGCGTGCAGTGTAGAATAGTAATAGTAAAATAAAAGCTCCAAAAAATTGTTCACACTTTAGCCTCAAACTCCCCAAAAGAAAGGAAGAATCAATAGATGACACTGTTAACAATTTTTACCAAGAAACAAAATCCCAGGCAATTGGTTATTCATGAAATGACAAGAAAGCTTTAAACCTCATTGAAAAGAAAAATAAGAAAATTTGTAAAGGTAGCAGCAACTTTTTCCATCAAGAATTTGTCTGTGGCAAACTCTGTATCTTCAATCCTAACCTTAAACTATTCCCTCGGAAAATAATATTATAAAAAAGCATAAATGTGAACAAAAATTG